GCACATGACTTTTGTTTTTGAAGAAAATTATAAAGGTAATAGTACAAAACCATTAAACCTATGAAATTCTATTTGTCCTATTGTTGTTAAATGATGTCAAGTGGGTTTTGACTCATAGTGACCCTGTATAGGGTTTTTGATGAGCAGCTGGTGGGTTTGAACCACAACAGTCCAGTGCTTAACCTACAATGCCACACCAGGACTCCATTTGACTGTTGTTGTTGAGTGTCATCGAGTCAGTTCTGACCCTTAGTGACCCTGTATAGGGTTTCCAAGGAGCAGCTGATGAGCTTGAACTGCCGACCTTGCAGTTCAAATTGCTATGCAGTCTGGTGCATTAACCGACAGCACCTATAGCATGTTGTAATTCTATCCACGTTTTCAATTCTTTATACTGCTCTTCCTAATTTCAAGATAGTAAAATAGTTATATAACTGGAGCATAGTTATGTAATTTATCCACAAATGAAGAATTTCCATGAAATTCAATTTAAAAAGGAAAAGCATATGATTACATTTCTTTAAGTGTTCATTCACTTATAGGAATAGTGCATGAACCAGCTAGTCTCTATATTCAGCTGCTTTTTGTTACAGGCAAAGGTGGAAAACCTCTCTTTTTCTTTTTTTTAACATTTTATTGTGAATTGAGTGAAGGTTTGCAGAGCAGATAGTCAGTTTTACATTCAGTAAATCATATACTTTTTATCCCAATGATTACAGTCCCCTCCATGAGCTTCACTTTCTCACGTATGTTTATTTTTCTTCATTCCTCCTCCTTTCTAGACCTTTCTGAATTTTGTCCGTAGGTAAATGCTGTCCTTTTGATCTCAAATGGTTGACCATTCTACGATATGTATATCTCATTAGTGTTGTTGAGAATTGAGTCATGGATGCGAGTTTAGTTCCAGATCTGACAGGTGACCAAGCCCTATAGTCTTAGGGTTCTACCAGTCTCGTCTCACCAGCATACCATGTCTTTTTATTTTTATTTTTTAAATGTTTTATTGTGAATTATATGATAGTTTACATGGAAGAACATTAGTTTTACATTCATCCTATCGTATACGTTTCATTGCCATGGTTACAATCCCCTCTATGCATCATCAACCAACCAAAGGGTATACACTACAAGCCTGGCCCCCGGTCGTCAGCACACAGCCCCTCTCCCTCTCTGGGTCTAAAGTCCCCAGCTGCTCCGTCTCTCCACGTCATTGTCTCTGCCTCCATCTCAGGCATCACTGCTTCTCTGGGTAGGGTCCCGCTCTCCGCTCT